AGTAAATGTAATAAGTTTCGATCTTTGATCTTTACAAATAATTTCTCGAATAAAAATCCCGAAATAAAAGCCCTTTATAACTTATTCCGATGGAAAACTCAGAAATTTTTTTTTTTTTTTTTTTTTTTTTTTTTTTTTTTTTTTTTTTTTTTTTTTTTTTTTTTTGTTGTGGTTTATTTGAAAAATTAAATTCACAAACGTAGATATCTGCAATTGACTGCACGTGATATCCCTAAATTCATTTTGCGTAAATATCAATCAAATGGAATTATTGAGCCATTCCGATTAAGCATTTTTGTAGTTGGGCGAAGCTAAGAATGCTTCTGCAACTGTCATAAACGTGTTTATGTTATTTTTATTTTCTGTGCATATGACAAATGTAATCACGCGCATACTTAAAAAGGTATAGTATGCATATAATGAATATATTGACGGAATTTGTTGAAACTGTTGACGGTTGTGCAATATATTTTGCTTGCTGACTAGTTATTTTGAGGCCCGAAACTAAACCAAATTAGTAGTTTTGATGATCCCATATAATGAAAAATGAACACTGCGAATTAAGTGATTTTTTCACATTAATACAACTAGATGTATTGGTTAAAGTGAATGAATATTTGATTTTAATGAGACAATGAAATCCAGCCGTTTTTATTGTAGGCTATTATACCCTGGATAGGGTATATTAAGTTGTCTCGAAGTTGTGGAAAGAAACGTCGTCGAAAACCCTATAAAATGTATACATATGTATATATGTAAATAAATGATCAACGTAGACCCTCAGTTTTTCAGATATAGATCTCGAAATGTTCTTTCCCCCCCAAGGAACCCAGTTGTCGAATCCGCATATTTCGGACGACTATAGCATATAGCTGCCACACAAACTGAACGGTTGTTATAAATTACTTGTGTGGGAAGCCTTTTCATTTGAGCAGAAATCTTCGCAAAATTCGGCATGAATTATTGCCTCTCCGAAAGAAGAGCAGTGTTTCAGATCAAGTAATTACATCATATAGGTGCCATACAAACTAAACGATCCAAATCAAGTTCCTGAAAGGAAGTATCTATTAAGTGTAAAAGAAGTTAAGTTTTTTGTTTTTATATTACAAACAAATCTATACACGTTTATTTTTGAACTCAATTCCCAGCAGGGCACCAAAGGAACACGTGTCGAGCACACTTGTTGCTAATGTTTCTTCCTCTTCATCCAGCAATAGTTGTTGCATTCGCCAAATATGCTCGTATCACATTTCGCAAATTTTTTCTGTTCCCACCCTCCCCGTTCTTACCTTCAATTGGAGTTTTCGCATAATGCGCGTCTCTTCCCAACGATCCAGTTCGTCCCATTCCTTGCCGCGTTTACGCAACAAATAGTAACGGTACATAACAATTGTGACCGCAAGCAAGAGAGCCAGGCCGGTGCCCGTGGCGGCGCCTAAAACCGCCGAACTCACCATAACCATAGCCTAGTGTAGAAGGAGCAATGGTAACTGAAAAAGGTCCCTCAGGTTGGACGATAAAGGTGTCTGGTGGGTGGCCTTTTAAAATTCAGTCCTTTGGCGCAAATTTTATTACATACACGCGACAACACACAAACAAGGGAGATTCGACGAAAGTCACTTTTTATTTAATTTTTGGCTATCCTGGCTGTTTATTTGCCGCTGCCAAAAAGTCCTTTTGTAACTGTAAAGAAATAAAAGAGAGTAATTTCAGTAAAAACAGTTCACCCCACTCGTCGGGAAATAAAATTTAATCTACAGCCTTTAGGTTCATAAAATTCAATTTACGACATCCACATTTACATATTAATCGTTTTATGAAGTTTAATTTAAAAAAAGTACAATACACAAATCTGTATTTGCAATCTGAGAAAGCTGTGCTTTGTAATATTTCGTAATCAAAAGTTTCATAGGTCATTTTAAGCTTCACACTTAAATCTATTAGTTTTGCTGTTATTTTAGAATATTGAACGGTGGTAATAATTCGATGTACTGCCCACGATTTTGTTATTTATATTGGAAAAAGTACAACTTGCGTTAAAAAATTGTGTACGTAATTTTCACGTTTTGTCAATTTCCCAAACAATCTTGAATTCGGGTTTGTCTTGAACGATGCAAAAAATCCCTCAGTTTACATATTTTTTGGTAAGATTTCAGTTTGGCCATTCCTCGTTTTAAATTGCGAAACGTCAGAACCTCGTGAACTTTGAGAGCTGATGACAAATGAGCAGGGCATCTCTATATCTCTGATATTAATTTTGTTGATCGTATATGTGTGAACCACGTAAATATGTTTTAAAAGACTTTTAAAAGTAAAGGCAATCAGCCCATCCCAGTTTCCTCCCTCAATATATCCTTTATAATGAATTCCGAATTTTGACTTATCGTTAAGCTATTTATGCTCGTCAAAACGTGTGACATTCTAATGAAATTTAGTGGAAAAGGTTTTTTTGCTCATATCCCTAATATAATGACCGCTGAGTTCGGTTGTAAGATATATCTGTCAAAACTTATCATATTTATTCTAAGTCGCTAAATTTAATATATAGAGTTGATGTGCCAAACGACAACCAAAAGATCTTAATTGATGAATAGTCCAACTCCATTCAAGCTTAGCGCTAAACCATTAATATTTAAGGTTTGTTAGAATAACGGAAATTATTATATGTAGTATGTAGTAATTTCACATATTTTCATCATTAAACTAAAGTAGATCCAATATTGATATTGATATCATCGGCCTCAACACCCGCGCCGTTAGTTCTGCTTTCTCCAGACTGGACAAGGAAGCAAGCCTAATGGGTCTGGCAGTGAACGATCTTCTGTCATCAAGCAAACATTCGTCACACTCGCGACTTGCCTCTCACGTGTTGAGAGTCAACACTTCGAAGTCGTCGATAATTTCGTCTATCTTGGAACCAGCGTAAATACCACCAAGAATGTCAGCTTGGAAATCCAACGCAGGATAACTCTTGCCAACAGGTGTTACTTCGGACTGAGTAGGCAATTGAGAAGTAAAGTCCTTTGTAGACAAACAAAAACCAAACTCTATAAGTCACTCATAATTCCCGTCCTGTTATATGGTGCAGAGGCTTGGACTGCTGAGTCGACATTGCGAGTTTTCATGAGAAAAGTTCTGCGAAAGATTTATGGTCCGTTGCGCGTTGGCCACGGCGAATATCGCATTCGGTGGAACGATGAGCTGTATGAGATATATGAAGACATTGACATAGTTCAGCGAATTAAAAGACAGCGGCTACGCTGGCTAGGTCATGTGGTCCGAATGGACGAAAACACTCCAGCTCTGAAAGTTTTCGACGCTGTACCTGCCAGGGGAAGCAGAGGACGAGGAAGACCTCCACTCCGTTGGAAGGACCAGGTGGAGAAGGACCTAGCTTCGCTTGTAATATCAAATTAGCGCCACGTAGCGAAAAGAAGAAACGACCGGCGCGCTGTTGTTAACTCGACTATAATCGCGTAAGCGGTGTCTACGCGAATTAAGAAGAAGAAGAAGATCCAATATTAAAGCCTCAAGTAATTTTGCTAAAACATCTAATATATTGACCGATGGGAGATGGATGCAGTTTTGACCCGATTTCACCTCCTTATGGCATTATGTGTGTATTATTAACAAAAACAGATGCTCTTTGAGTTTCTAATGGTACCTCACAAATCTAGTTTTATCCCGATACACGATGCTTCATTTGCATACTGGCAGGGAAAAATCAGATGAAATTTAAAATTTAGTTACATATTTCGTTTGTTTTCGCACTGGAATATAGGAATGTCAAAGTAACCTTGTGTACTGAATTTTAATGAAATCGGTCGAGTAGGTCATCTATAATATTTTATTTCATATTACTGTTTGAAAGTTAATAAAAAAACCTTCCAGAAGCCAAGTCTTAAGAAAACCATTAATATTCCGATTGGTAATGGAGAAATTTTTAATTTTTAGAAGTGTAGTGACCTTAATCACTGCCCAACCTATTTAGAGTTATAATTTCGGTTTTCATTAACATATGTCGTGTAAATACATATTTGCATTAAATTGAACAGTAAAATAAAGTAATGGTCACACACATAAAATTGTTTAAATGAACTTCAACTTTTTCCTCGAAACAAAGCCACAACATATGCCTTTGGGAGTAATGTCACCCACGCAACGCACGCTCTCTTCCTTGCCCTCTTTTAATAGCGGAAATGATACTGCTTGCACACATACCTATATATGTATACCTACGATTAGGGTGGACCAAACAACTAATAATTTTTGCTTATACACCGTGAAAATATTGTCCGAAATATTCAGCCATATTTAATTTTTTGAGTAATATGAGATCTCCGACTGCGCTAAAAAAGGCAATAGCCTCGGGCTCACTGCTGCAGTGAGTCCGGGGTTCTCCGTGGATGAAACTTAGAAATAAATTCTTATGATGATCGGATCATTTGTCTTCGAGTAATCACTTCTGCAAATTATAAAAAGTAAGAAAGGGATGTGCCGAACGTAAAATTTAGTGTCTCTGGCGTAATTAGTTATTGATTTATTGCGCTTTTAGTAGTTTAAAACAGTGCCGTTAAATGGGAAGGGAGAGAGGCTATCTACCGATGTCTTTAATTTTCACACTGTTGATAGGAGTTTTTATAGCTCGAGCTTAGAAATTCGGTTGTTGTAGCTTTAGTTCTATAAACTCGTAATTTTTTTGCATTAAGAAATCTGGGAACCAAGTTTCATGATGATATCTCAATGTTTACTCAAGTTACAGCTAGCACGGACGGACGGACAGCCAGGCATTCACCCGAATTTCAACTTTTCTCGTCAACAGTTTGCTACAGAAATAACTGTAACTCAAAAGCTATTTGCGATATCGAATTGAAATTTTATTATGTTAACTATTTATTTTTAAGTCCTTATTGGGTTTGCCCTTTAAAGTGAAAAAACTTATTATTATAAAATGGCTTTGAATTTTTCTAATAAAATCAATAAAAATGATAAAAAAAAATAAAAGATTTTATGGTTTTGAACTTTTTTGTGATATAATACAAAAAATTGTAAAATGTATTATCAATATTAAGAGCTCAAGCTTTACCAGAAATTAATATTCGTTATTTCGGACGATATTTTCAAGACATCTAAGAAAAAATGAGAGTTTTTTCGGCCCACCCTAAGATACATATATACTCACATATATAAACATGGTGGTAATGAAACACCCACTAGATGAAGACTGGCTGTCCTTAGATGGTATCACAGAATAAAATGGTACTCCAATTTCATTCATTCAAAATTACATAAGTATGTTTATGTATAGTTCCATGTATGCATGTGTGTTTTGCGATCCTTTTTCTTTACAACAAGAAGGCTTTGCCTAGCTTAAATTAGTTATAACTTGTTCATGGGTTTCCGCTTTTAAATTCTGCAAGAGCAATGTTTAAATGAAACATTCGAGATGAAGAAATATAAAACCAAATTAAGCATAGATTTTCAAATTGCGATTTAACAAGGTTGAAAGTTTGAAGCGATTACGAAAAAGATTATAAACAAATTAATAATTCAAGAAGAGTCGCTACGGTCGCTACATTATTTTCTTCATATCTCGAGATTTTGAGGTATTAATAATTTTGATTCTTCTTTGATTCTTCAAAGTTGCGGAATTATAATGTTTGGCTGCATCTAAACTTAACCATATCTAACTTCCTTCTATCCCATTCAAAATTTGAGTGCATGAAGTTTAGAATAGCATAGACATCATTCCCGATTGCTTTAGCTCATCTAGTAACTTAGTATTTTAAACTCGGATGTTTTCTCGATGTTACAAACTTCATGGTAAACTTAATCTTCCCTCTAAAGAATAAATTCATTAACATTTTCTGGTTAAATGATACATATGTGGCCGTGGACCTTAATTGTATATTACGTGAATATTTTGGTTGTTGGCTCACCCAGATATCAAAATAGTAAATTGTACTGATGTTTGCAAAATAATAAAGTACTTTCTTATATGCATACATATGTGTGTTATTGTGGATGTACATACATATGTTTGAATATAAAAAGTGTGAAAAAAGTTAAATAGAAGTAAAAGTAAGATTACACGAAAATGAAAGTAGAAGATTTGAAATTTGCGAGAGAAAAATTTTGTTTGCGAAACAGATGTAGTGAGAAGATTCACTAAATTCGAATATGACATGGTTATTGCGCATTTTAGGGTTGTTGTGTTGCAAAACACCACTTTTGAAATGAAGACGAATTCAAGATGGTGAAAGAAAGATGAGGCAATACTTCCTGCTAAAAATTTTAATAGGAAGCAATTTTCTGCCGGATAGACAAAATATAATATCAGCTATTACTCCGTATTATTTTAATTTTAAAGAAACTGGCGATTAACCTTTACATTTGATTCTAATTATAAATATATATATTTTTTAGGCCTCAAATTCTTCATGCATGCCGTTATTACAGTACA